ATCACACAGGCAGGGTCAGAAGTGTCCTCTGCACCAGGACAGGGCATTCCCACAGGCTCCTGAAGGTAAAGAAGGAAGGAAGAAGCTGACAAGTTGACTTAGAACATGGGAAGACAGCGTAAGATCTGAGAGGAGGGAACAAAGAGAGGACTGAGAAGCTGAAAGAGAGGAGCTACCAATGTCAGAAGCTGACAAAAACTGCCTTCCTGAGAACCACAGCTCACGTGGGAAGACTCAGAAGAAAGATGAAAATATAGCATACAAAATGACTGAGGAGAGGGACAAGAACACATGGCAGCCTAGGAGGTCTCCTCACTGGGTGCTAATAAAGGCAGGACCTAGGTGCAGAGAGCAAAGGGGAGTCTGCGCGGACCTCATGCCATGTCGTAACCTCAAGGTAGGTGTGAACCAGTACGAAGTCACCCGATTTCTTGTTTCTTTTACTCCTCTGAATTTTTTTCCCACTTTATTCCTCCTCCTCCATTTCCTCTGCCACCAAAGTATTTGCCAGAAAACATTAGTCATTTCTTTTTGATTAGTGAAAGAGCTCCAAGTCTGCCTTTCTTGGTCTTCATGAAGGCGTCACAAAGGAAGAGGAATAGGACTGGCTGAACTCTAAGTGTCTCTTCACAAATGAGCTTCATGGAACAGAAAAGCAATGAGACCCCCCCAAAAAAAAAACCACTTCAAACACCAAAATGCCAAGTACATTCTTGTTACTATGATATGCAATCAGCAGATGGGCACTGCTCTATCCAAATGACTATCTACAAAGCAAGACTTGGGTGTACCACAAACTTGGGTGTGGAAGCTCAGAGAGCAAAGAAGGAATGTCAACCCCCCGAACACACTGCGGCTTCCCAGGCAAGGTGGCTAGGACTCCCTGCCACGTGCTCTACACAGCCCCTCAGAAAAACAAAAGGCTTTCTGTAGTAAAATGTACTGGGAATGATTAAAAGGAACATGTTTAAAGCCATTAGGAAAATTGAATCTGTATACCAATGTGGTAGCTTTTATTATTCAGGCTTATCACAAAAAATAATAATAAATTTAAAAGATCTGAGGAAAATGCCCCCAATTTCAATGAAGAAGTAATTTTACTCATCCTTTATAACAACATATCTTTGGGAAAAAATATTTCCCTGCTACTACTGCACTGAACATCCCCTTGAAACTATTCTGAACCCTCCAATTCTACATATTCATGCTCTAAGTCTACTTTTATAATTCTCTGATGGCCTCCCCTTCTAAGTTATTATCAGTTCTCAGACTGAGTTTTTTCTCAGTAGACTCTAACACTTTGAAGGAAATCCTCCCTCGGATAAAAAAAAAAGAGAGAGAGAGAGAGAGAGAGAGAGAGATGCCATAGTTTTTGTAGACAGCCAGCCTGCTCTCAAGTTTTTAGCATAATCCTCTAACTGGTTGGTTTCTCAAAGTCTGATAAGCCGAGGATTCAGCTCAGTGGTTCTGCCACCTGCCTCACAAGCAGAAGGACCCGAGTTTGAACCCCAGTACAAAAAGAAAATCCAAAAGTCTGATTGTAAATTGCTTATAGAAAAAGAGAGGTATTTGCTCATGATCAGAACTATAATACCCACACAATAAGAGGGTTCTCAGGGAAGCCTATAATCCTTTTTCTCCTGTGCTCTACCTCAAACAGCCATACTCAGGCCATATGCATGGGGGATATTTTCCACAACTCCTGAAGATCCCTGAAACCAACTCTATGCATACTACCTTCTTCTTCCACATACATAACTATGACAAAGTTTAATTTATAAATCAGGGGAAAATAATAATAAAATGGGAAATTACAACAATGCAATATAATAAAGTTAGATGATTTTCACCTTTTGCTTACAGGAAACACTTTACAGCTACTCTTTGGCATACCTGAATTGCCAGCATCAATACTCGTGCTTTGAGGCCATTACAAAATAAAATAAGTACAATGTGCACAAGTCCTGCAATACAGAGACAGCACATCTGATAATCAAGACAGCTACTAAGTGCCTAACAGGCAGATACCATACTCCCAAAAAGAAGACCTAACTGGAAAATAAGCCCTATGCTTATAATACAAGCCCTACCCCCAAAATAAGCCCCAGTTCAGACTATCAGCCACACATTTAGAACATCCATTGAAACACACAATGGATATATTTAATTATAAAATAATATTCATATGTAATTAAATACAAATGAATAAATATCATTGACATTAATACTTAAATAAATGGTAATGTAAATTATAATTAAATATTTGTAATACCCAAGTGGGTGCCTTTGGACAAGAGGCAAATCCCTATGTAAACAGATGAACAGAACACTTATTACCAAATGACCAATTAGAATACAACACACAAATAACATGTACACTTGATAACAAATGGATGTGGCTGTATCTGATATGAACCCTCATAATTCAGTCTGCCAGGTAATGGTGCATTATGAGCACATTACATGGATACGAAGTGCTCATTTAAGGACAGCTCTATTGCTGGACATGAGAAGCTGGGACCAATGACTCTACAGAAAATGGAGTCACAAGAAATTCAGGCCAGAATTCAGGGTTTGGAAAGTTACAACAATGTTCCAGAAGAAAATGAAAATTGCATGATAGTAGACTTCTTTACATGAAAAAAGGCAGATTGTTTTATATATGCATGTGTGTGTGTGTGTGTGTGTGTGTGTGTGTGTGTGAAAATAAGCCACACTGCATATTTTGGACCAAAAATTCATATAAGACATGTCTTACTTTGGGGGAACTATGGCAGCATATACAGTGAGGCCATGTTGGACACAGAGACAATTCATGTCCCAGGCAGGACTGAGCAGGATGTCATCGTACTGCTTAGAATAGCCCACCAGTTAAGTAAGTCTATTGTTTATTTCTAGAAATTCTCATTTAATATTTTCAGACCAAGGTTCACCATGGGTACCTATGCTCTCAGGGTTCCTTTTTTGGGGGATGACACAAACCCAATGTGTCCCTTCCTGGCAATGAAAGTAGGGGCTCCTCTTGCTGAAAGCAGGCCTTGGGGTGCAGGTCAGGGTGTGGGCTTTGGTGGAGCAGAGCACCTGCGTCAAGATGCGCACTTCCTGCTGAGACAGGGAGGAGAGGCGCAGGGGAGACGGGAGAGCAGGCATGGTGGGGGACACATCGGAAAGCATGTGCACATAGCTCTTCATTGCCTCTCCCTTCTGCTTTGCTCTCCAACATTTCTTCTTCCTTCTCATTCCCACTAGAAGGCTTTGCAGAGGAGGGCTGAGAAGAAAGGCTTTCTCAGGGCAGAAAGAAGAAAAGAAACTCACCAGTAAGAAACCGAGCACTAGAAATATAGTCTTTCATTTGGAGACAAAGGGGGAGTTTTTCACATTTGAGATGTGTTTTCATCAATCAGAACTGTGTGTGTGTGGTTTATGCATAAGCCCAAAGTAAAGAGAAAAGTAATGGCTTCTGTATATGCAGCAGAAGAATGATTCACAAGTTAAATTAACTACAGGCTTTGTGAATCTTTCTGTTACTAAAGATAATCTTTTCAGGAGAAAACGCATTTTTCAGTAAGTTTATTGCACACACCTGTGGCACTTTACAAGGCAGTGTCTTCATGAAAGGCACGGAAATTCAGGGTAAATATCCAGTGCTTACGTCATTTAGGAACTCACACTTCTCAAATTCCACTGCAGAAATCCAGGTTCTAGACCCCCTCACGCAAGATGGCCTATTTCCAACAGGTGTGTTCCCTTCAAACAAAATCTTATCCAGAACTAATCCACTGTCTACCCTTTATTCCTATGTGCTGTAGATATTACATAGTGCTCGTTCTTTAGCTGTAACGTAAGCACAACCTGAACAATGTATGCCTTTGTCTAAGTTATAAATGGCCTGTCTTTTTCATGAATAATCAATATGACGCATACCAAAGAACTGAAACAACAAAAATATTTATTATTTTAAACAACGTCTGGGAACCACACCTCATTCCACGAATTACTGGAATAAGGAATATGTCCTGACAGTCTTCAAATACTGCACCATGAGAATTCTTTCTTACGTGACTTCTCAAGAGGACCTTCCTTGGTCCTGTTGAGTGTAAGCAGGATGAGAGAGGACTTGGGGAGAGATGAAGACAATATCTCTGGTGCTCAGACTACAAATGATTTTCCTATTTTCCTTCCTGCCATCTCTCCCTCGGCAGACCTCCTGCACAGAGATAGCACCAGTGTATTTGGGGATCAAATGGGAAGAGCAGCCACTGGGCTGGAGACAGAGTCCTTCTGAATCTAACTACAACTCCCTGTGTCACTGAGACACATGACTGTTGCCCCAACTTTGTATTTATTAAATTTTTTCATGTACAGATTAAGGACTCCATCCTACAGAATTACTGGACACCTCGCTAGGGTTCCGCAAGCTAAATGGACCATAGTGTCCTGGGTCTCCACTTTGCAAGACTAAACCCAAGTCTCTATTTGAGCCTTCACTGCCTAAGATCAAGTGCACTTTAATACAAGTGAAAATGAAGTGTTTTTGCTGAAGTCGTGGCAGGTCCAACAGGGCTTCCACCTGTCTCCTTAGAAAGCCACTGGGGCAGTCAGGGTGATCCTGGTCCTTTCAAACTCTGAGCGGTCAGAAGCAAGTTAGGAAGGAGGGGTGGAATTTTAGTAAAAATTTATGGAACAGTGCTCAGAATCTCCCCATCAGGGGAGATTGCTGTGGGTTTCAACCAGAGAACATACAACTAGAAAACTGTGAAAATAAGAACACATTTTATCCAACGCAACATGTCCTAGGACACCCATTCAATCTTTTTATTCTGACAATAGTCCAAGGAAAGAACCATCTTTTCCTTAAAACATATACTGTCCCATTCATATGCATTTAAGAACACATCTCCTATAATTAGAATACCAATCAAACCTCTAAGTCACACCAAGAGAAATGAACAAAATGACAATGTTATGTGTTTGAGCCTACAAAGTAGAATTTGCATTACCTCTGTGTTAACAGCTTCCATTGGTCTTTTCTTCATTTCTCCTATGTCCAAGTAACTGGGGAAAACAAATAAAAGGAAAGAGTTGCTTTTACAGGTGTTAAGTCAGTTACATAAATTTATTCTTAAACATTACATATAAAGTAAAGCAAGTCTTAGAAAACATGTAAGCCTGAAGCAAAAATTAATAAGTTTTAGAGAACTAAGAACTGCTTCCTGCATCACCAACCAAAGCTGATATGTATCTACCCTAAACTCCAAGGGAATTGGAAGCCAGGTGTGGTGACTCACGCCTGTACCCCCAGAACTCAGAAGGCTAATGCAGGTGGATTGCTGCGAGTTTGAGGCCCGCCTGGGCTACACAGTAAGTTCAAGGCCAGCCTGAACTACAGAGTGAGACCCGGAAATGTTAGGGAACATTTTCCCCTTAATAGTTAGCTGCTCACTGTATGTACTATATTTCTGGTTTTTGTATGAATTTGATAGAGTGCTTTATATGTAAAGCTGCTGAGCTGTTCCACCAGTCCCAAACTTTAGGTAAAGGAAGTACTGATAGAAAGTGGTAAAGTAACACCTGGAAAAGGCTGGGGACTCATCAGAAAAGCACTTTACTAGCACGGAATTGCTCAGGCATGGAGATTCTTTAAATGGTTCAGTGTAGAGACAGGTGGATGGACTAGTTAACCTCTGGGACACCTATTATTCCATTACTACAGATACTAACTAGTGATCATTCATTAGCTACTGCCTGAACACAACCTTCAAACTTTATACTTCTGTCAACTTCAGGCTGAAAGTCCATCACTGTGATCTGGTTTCAGTTTTAAATGGTCCCTAAACTATGCTTTATAATAAAAGGTGCTGTATAAACACTGTAATATAAAAAGTGTAACCTAGCATTCATCACCATAGATAAAGGGGTAGAGTCATCTCAATGACTATGATTGCCAAATTATCAAAAAGAAGTTTTTATTAGAATTACCATTGGCTACTGAAATTTTTGTTTGTTTGTTTGTTTGTTTTGTTTTGGTACCAGGAACTGAACTTGGGATCTTGCACTTGCCGGGCAGGTGGCAGCACCACCGAGCTGAATCCCCAGCCCTGAAATGTTTTTATTGTGACTGCTATTATTTGCTATTTTGAACAGAATACATCAATTGATCAATATCTCTGGAAAGCACTCTATATTTTTGCTATATACTAGTTATATAAGACAATGCAAACAGTACCCTGTTTTAGCAATAAAATGGGTCCTTGGTGAATCTGAAGGACTGTTTCTTGCATAACAGTAAAATACACTGCCATATGTAAGAAAGTGATCTCAGATTTACAAGATTAATGTCGTAGATCAGTGTCCAACGTAGAGTCAACATTTCCCAGACCACACAGACAGTTTCTGGGAAAATGGTCTCTTGAATTCTCTGCTATAAAATAAGGATTTAACCTACCTGGGCCAGGGATTTAGCTCAGTGGTGCTGCCACCTGCCTTGCAAATGCAAGGTCCTAAATTCGACCCCCAGTACCAAAAAGAAAAGAAAAGAAAAAAGATTTAACCTATCTGAAGTTTAGATATGGTTCCAAAAATAATAGAAAAATCTAAGTGAAATGAACTCCATCAGGAATTTAATTGATTCCATTTGGAAAATATTTTGCTATCTTTCCCAACATCATAAGTGAAAGTCCACAAGTTATCCTCGGTACTTATTGAGCTTTCTTTTGTTCTGCCAGTTGCTTCATTTGTTATACAAACTTACAGAGCTAACCTTCAAATATATTCAGCATTTAAATCTTGCCATCTATCATTGTAACTACAGAGACTGCTATTTTAACACAAATATAATAAATTGTTCATCTGTCAGCATAGAAAACTAACCATGGACACTGTTAAACTCAGTTTGCTTGTATGCATTAAAAGCATAAATAACTGCAAATCTCTTATATACACACGCAAAATAATGTGAAGTGCCCCTTCTGTTTGATTTGGAGCTCTGTCCTTTTATCTTGTGTGTTAGTAATGCCAAACAAACAAAATTATTCAGTAATTCAGTATGACTTACTGAAATTACTCTATAATGTCTAGTGTTCACGGCTTCTGAACCAGCTTTCCATATCCATGAAATTATTTGATGTGAAATGATTTAATTAAGAAGTATATAAAGAATTTTGATATTTACAAAACATACTCATATCCATAGTGTTTGCTTTTTATAACACTCCCGTGAGGTAGGAAAGGTTGAACTCCTTTTCTATATCAAAAAATTGACCAGCTGCTCAAGAACACAGCCAAGAAATGCCTAAGTATTGGTGTCCTGTTTTAAGTTCGAAGTTTCTTTTAGACACACAGTTTCCTCTAGTTCTTTTCTATGAAGCGAGACGAAGCATACTTAAGGGAAGTTAGGGGGAATACAAAAATAAATCCAAATATATCCCTCATCTTCTATAAAAAGATTGTCTGGTATAACAAAATTAAATTACATAGAACTAAATTAGGTAATGAAGGATGATAATAGAGAATGATAGTAGTATCTGGGAAAATATTTCTACCCAGCTAACAACAAAATCCAACTCGGGAGGCTTAGGCAGGAGGATCACTGTGGTTCAAGGCTAGCCTGGTCTACATAGTATACACAAATTTGACCAGCCTGACCTATATAGTGAGACCCTGTCTCAAACCCCACCCCAAAAATCCAAAATCGTAGATTTATGATAAATATTTTTACTATTTTGAAGCTCAAGATAAATTTTTAATTAAAATGTCCTATTTAAAAACCATGGAATGTGGAATTATCGTCAGATCTAGATCTAGGAATTTCACTCCTAAGTATATACCCAAGAGAGTGAAGACTTAGAAGCAAGTGTTCATAGAAGCATTATTCATAATAGGCAAAAAGTGAAACAACCCAAATATTCATCAGCTTCTTAATGGATAGGCAAAGTGTGGTGTGTCTGTATCATGGACTATAATTCAACACTAAGAAGAATGCCATCCAGAGCCACACTACAACATGGAACCTTAAAGCACTATGGTAAGAAAATAAGTCAGACACAATGGGCACGTATTGTTTGATTCCACTTATATGAAATGTTCAAAATACAAAAATCCATAGAAATAAGAGATTAGTGGTTGCCAGACAATGGGGGGAGGGGAAACCAGAAGGTATAGATTTCTTTGGAGGGGTTACAAAAATGTTCTAAAATTGGTTTGTGGTGATGGTTGTACAGCTCTGAGTGTATACTGAAAAATCACTGAAATAGGATTGAATGTTACATAACGTACATCACAGTAAAGCTGTAAAGAAAAAAACCAGAAAATTCCACTTGTCCTATGCTGCCCACCCGCACCAACTCTCACTCTGACATAACTGTTTTACCACCTGAACTTATCCCTTGTACTCTGCATTAAAACTGTGCACCTGTGGTCTCTCCCATTAGATTGGGAGCTCCTAGAGCTGAGGGGTCATGTCGTGTTCATCCTTGATGCCACACAGACCTCAAAAGGGTTTGCTAAGTCACCGAGCATCCACCACCAGTGAGCTCCCTGCCAAGGACTGGAGAACAATCCCTGTCCTTCGAGCTGGAGGCAGACAGGTAAATAATACAGCAAGCCACTAAACTTTTGCAGCATTGAGTTAATAGCATGAACTTGCGGCAGGCGGGTGGAGGTTGCAGAAGCCTGGCTCTGCCTGTCATTAGAAATGAAAGATTGGAAGGAAGTAAACAATGGTGGGTGCGAATAATTCCTTCCTCTGGTAATAATATAGCATCCCACACTTTGGAAATGATCTTGTTTGTTGGTTTTGGTTTTTTGAGACAGGGTCTCACTATGTAGTTGAGACTGATCTGGAACTCACTATGTAACCCAGGCTGGTCTCGAACTCACAGCGATCCTCCTGCCTCAGCCTCTCGAGTGCTGGGATTACAGGCATGCACCATGGAAATGATCTTTAAGAAGTCCTCATTTAGGGGCTGGGAATGTAGCTCGGTGTTTCCACCAGCAACCTGGCAAGGGCAAGGACCCGAGTTCGATCTCTGATACCAAAAAAAAAAAAAAAAAAAAAAAAAGTGGAAAAAAAAAAGACTAATTGAAAAAGCATAAATACAGTATCAGTTTGGTTACTAACCTTGCAAGGATGCGTTTTTTAAATTCCTCATCTACACAAATTTTAAGCCTATACCTATTGCCACCCAAGTGAAATCCCTTCTGCTGTCCTAGTTTCAACCTGCACCCCAGCTGCAGCAGGGGCTCTGAGGCAGCACCCCGAGGGGTAGCGCTCCCCCACAGTCCCAGAATGGATGGACCGGGTCCCTCCTCGCCTCCTGTCACTCTCCCACCGCCGAGCGGGCGCTGCAGACCCACTCACTTGAGCTTCTTGAAGGCCTCCTGGCCCCCCGCCACGTAGGTGCCGCCGCTCTCGATCTGGTCCAGCTTCCGGATGCGGTGGCCCGTGCGCGGCGTGTAGATGTTCCGGACCGCCCCGAAGGGCGCCTGGACGCCGCCCGTCACCTCCTTCAGGAACACGTCGAAGCTGGACACCTTCTTCTCGTGGATGACGACGCGGCGCCCCGCGAAGAACGGGTCCCCGTTGCGGTACACGAACACGCTCTTCACCACCGGCTGCGACAGGTGGCTGGACCTGGCGCCCGGGCCGCTCATCTTCCCCAGG